TCTTTCCGAATATAACTTTACCGATACACTTAATTTCAACAGCGCTTTATAACAAACGCTAGAACGTCTCACGTGCTCGTGCTCGACAATACTCAATTGAATTACACACTCTCTAACTGCAGTTCAATTACTCATTACCTACACATTGTCCCGTCACGTTGTGACCACCTTATATATACCAGCCTACCCCCAATCTAGTAATCTCCCGACAATTCACGAAGGTTCGAGAAAGAAGTGGGGTGATACTAATCACGTGACCTCGCTGACGCAACAGTATGTTTCTATCAACCTTCTCTAAATATACTTCAATCTTTTAATCATATACGTATGCGTAAATTTAAATCACCAAACAACTTTATTTTTAAAAGCAAAAAGAAAAAAAAAGTTAAGGTACTTGAGTTTAGTCCTATCCAAAGTGATAATAAACATCTACAATTCCTAGTATAGTTGTTCGCAAAAATGTAGTCTGACCACAGAAATAACTAGCCCATACATGAAATTAAGTATATTTATTCCTTGAAGCTATAAGAAAGAAATATTCCGTAATATACAACTAGCACCTACTGATGACTGCTACAGTTGTCTTTGTTAAGTTACGGTTTACCTTTTATTTATATATTTTAATGAGATACACTGGTTCAAATATGTAACTCCCCCTGGTGGTAGGTGAAAGGACTATTTTGTGTTCGGTGCGTTTTTTGCATTGTCACGTAGTTTTGGAATATTTTACCTCATTAAATATATATATATAGTGAATAGGAATATAAATTATTTTCATTTACGTGATTCTTAGGGCTAACGCACTCTGGTGATAAATAATGTGTGGTAATATATAATTAATAACAGCAGTGTTAAAATCGTTTAAGTGTAGGTGTGTATAATACAGAAATTATCAAGATTTACAAATTATCGTTTGAAATTATCAGTCTTACCATCTGAATTCGACTTATAATGTAAACCAATATGAGGATTAAAACCCCTAACGTCTACATTGTATAAACCCATTAGTTGAGTGTTGTCGCTATTAACACTGTTCCAGTTTCAATATTTACAACAGAAACATGCCAATAACAGTAATCCTATATTGATATATAATTTGAAGAATATGTAACATTAATGATATTAATTTATTCTTCTGAATTATTCAACAGACAAGCTGTTAAAAATGATATTTATTCATTAATTTTCAGGACTCTTCTACCTCTATAACTCGAACTTGTCACAGTTTTATGGCAGAATGCTGAGCCTAATAACAGGTGTTGTAGTGTTATATGCTAGCATAGTATTAACATGTTTTCATTCGGAGTGAAATAGACGAATGACTCTTAATTTGGCAAGCATTGTGCAATAAGTGTTTTTAATGTTTTATTGTTGTTGTTATTATTGTCTTGAACATCGCACTTGAACAGTTGTAATTCAGTAAAATTGGAAATCATCGAGAAACGGATACGAAGAATCTGGGACACAACAAAGTAACATAATTTTGAAGAATATCATGATTTTTACATAATCACAATATTCGTTTATCGAGACAACTCTTCAAGCCACGATTTATTCAGGAAACCACCACAATTGAAAAGAATTAACTACTAATAACTAATGTTAAGCTATGTAAACAGAGGTATCTTGGTAAAAATACTAGCAGTTGAGTTGTTTGCATACAGACGGTTACACCTAAGTGGCTTCGTAAGAATAGTGGTAGTTGAGTTGTTTAGATACAGAAGATTTAACTTATGTATCTTGGTAAAAATACTAGTAGTTGAGTTGTTTGCATACAGACGGTTACACCTAAGTGGCTTCGTAAGAATAGTGGTAGTTGAGTTGTTTAGATACAGAAGATTTAACTTATGTGTCTTGGTAAAAATAGTGGTAGTTGAGATGTTTGGATACAGAAGATTTAACTTATGTATCTTGGTAAGAATAGTGGTAGTTGAGTTGTCTGCATCAAAGGGTAAGAATAGTGATACTTGAGTTATTTGCAGGCAGAAGATTAAACCTATATATCTTGTTAAGAATAGTGCTACTTGAGTTGTTTGGATACAGAAGATTAAACCTATGTATCTTGTTAAGAATAGTGATACTTGAGTTATTTGCAGACAGAAGATTAAACCTATATATCTTGTTAAGAATAGTGCTACTTGAGTTGTTTGGATACAGAAGATTAAACCTATGTATCTTGTTAAGAATAGTGATACTTGAGTTGTTTGGATACAGAAGATGAAACCTAACTATCTTGATAAGAATGTTGGTATTTTAGTTGTCTACATTCAAAAAGATTAACCTTGGAATAAAACTTTTAATTACGTTTCAACCTTCTCATGTAGGAATATATGTTTAAAAAACTGTATCTGTAGCCTATTCCGCTCTAAATTAGAAGGTGACATGCCTAAAGTTAAATAGGGCACAGTACAGGGTGAATGAGTAATTTGGGGCTTTTCAGGTTTCCATCACAGTGAAGAAGCTAGTCATCAGTCACCTTTTAAAGTGACTTTAATGCCAAAAGTGACTAGTGACTTCCTAAATAAGGGAATTTCTACCACAAATAAATAATAAATTGAAACTGATAACTATAAAATTATAATTCATTCAATTTGAATATACCATTGCACTGTATCTAACCTCACACATACTCCGTTTTTTATCAATTCAGTGACGATAAGGGTGCTTAAGATATTGTTGAAAGTGAGATTTGGGTACTTACATTTCCTGTGTAGCTTAAAATAAAGCACTTTGTGTTTGGTGAAGAGATGGTGTTTGATGAATAGAACCATTATTTTCCAAAGTCTT